AGGAGTGTTTGGAGAGTGCTGTGGTTTGGATACCGTTTGAGTGTTAGTCACCCACATTTATGTATTTGAAACTTGGTCCCCAGTGAAATAATGTTGAGGTGGAAGGGCCTTAAAGAGCTGGAGCCTAGGACAAGGTAATCAGGTCATGAGAGCACAGCCCTCAGAAAAGACTGCTATTCTGAGTGGACCCCAGCTAGTTCTTTCTAATCAATGCAGCCCATTGTAAAGCGGCTACCCACGCATGTGGCCGTTTCCTTCCTGTTGCTCCACCATGCTTCTAATGCAGTCATGGAACTTTTACTGGGATGTTGGCACTGTACTGTTTGGACCTTCTATTGCCAGACCCATGAGCCAAACAAACCTCCATCCTTTAAAGAGAATAGCAAAACTAGAGCATTTTTCTTATAGCAATTCTAAAAAGACTAATATTGAGACCTTGAGAAGGAAAAGTTTTAGAACTTTTGCATCATCCCCAGTGTCAGGGCGTTGACTTTCCACTTTCTTCCACAAAGTCTACATTGTTGGAGGAAGGCTCCACTCATACCTCAGGCTCATCACAACAGCAGGGCTTTTCCTTCCAGCCCTAAACAGTACCAGAACGCTGGAGATGCTCTCTCATTCCCACCACTCAACCCCCAGTTGTAAAGGCCACACTGTCCTGCTGCTGTCCTGTCTACAAAGCTGGAAAGGACCACCCCCTCTGCACAGGACACATAGGGCCTGCCTCACCTACTCAGAGGAAGGAGGGAGGCAAGTTCTCCTCACTCCATAGCTCCGTCCTTAGCTACAGCTGAACAGTACCCCACCCAATCCAGAACCAGAGAGGTAGAAGGATCCACTAACTCGTTTGTAATGCTCCATAATTAACACCCAGATCCTATGATAGTAAAAAGAACCTGCTGCTCTTGATACATCAAAAAGTACAGGATCTCAAAGTCCCAGAGACCTTAAGAGAGCACCTAGTCATAACTCCCGAGGCACCTTTCCATGCCCCTAGTGGAAAATGGGAAAATTGAGGCACAAAGATAAGTGAGAACTTAACAGCTACACAAAGCTCTAGTCCTCAAAGAACTTACACACCCTTTGGAGTTGGAGATACCTATTTGATGAAAGAATGGATGGATAGATGAACGGGTGGATGAATGAATGAATAAATGAATGGAAATTTACATCAATCACTGAGCTCCCTGTAACAGCACACCTCCTAAGACAAAGAGTGCAGGAGGCAGTCTATGTAGGTCTCAGTGTTGGATAGAACTTCTCTATCCTGAATCTGAACAAGCCTCTCTGCCCTTTCTGGACTCATCTGGGAACCCCCGTGCTGGAGTCTTTGTGGAGATACCAATATGAGAGGGAAAATGAAGAATACTGTTTTCCCTAGAATTCTCTTGATCAGCAGAAAGTAAAGCGGCAGTCCTCCTACAAGAAAAGCTGGAGTGGAGGGTAAACTAGTGTGAGATCCCTGGATTGGACATCTCTGGAGGTGGTGGAGAGTCACAGGTCAGGAACTTAAAGCAAGGGAAGTGGGAACTCTTCCCTAGGGCCAATCTATGCTGTTGGCAGGACCTGAGATCCCTCCTGATGACATAGTCAAATCCTCAGCAAAGTGACAAAAGCCAAGAAAAAAATTCCCTGTGTAATTAGATTTTCATGGAAAAGGGAGAAGGGCGAAGTTTTCTGTCTGAGTTTGATGGTTTGACCCAGGGGAGAGGGGCTGCAGACTCTCAGTGGCAGGGACAGTAGACACACATGACAGCCAACTGCAGAGCATCTGAGCGGTCTGTGGCTCAGAAGAGATCTTATCAAAGCTACAAGGGCTGTGGAGGTCCCAAAGGGCATAAGGATAGTACAGAAGGATGTATAACTGGTTCAGCTCCTTATTCCTTCATGAGACAGAAACGTATTAAATGTTGACTACGTCATCAGATACTAAGGTTTCTATTGTGAACTGCCTAGACTGGGCATCTTGAACATTCTTACGTACATCTTCGCCTAAGGTCTCTTAGATGGGTATCTCCCATATCCAAAGAGCTTCCAAGTTCTTTGAGGACTAGAGCTTAGTTCTGTTTCTTTCCTGAGCCTCAACACCTGCACCCTTCTGCTTCATAATAAACAACACACCCTTCACACTGAGTAAGGCTCTAGTGATCTCTCTGTAAATGTACACCACATCACTGTCTGTCACACTGGCAGCCCAGTCATTTAAACAGAACAACCAGGGGCTGATCTGATTGTGTTTTCAGTCCCTGCAGCTGAATCAGGTAGACACCGAGGAGCTGATTCAAGTTCATTTGGTCTATTCCTCTGCCTCCAGACCAGGCTGTAAGCTAGAACTAGTCAGTACGAGTTGCTTACTTACATGATATAACAAAAGTATACAAGTTAGAAAACTTGGATATAACTGGACTTGGCAACTAGCCTGCTGGTACTCAGTCATGGTCATTTCTACTGCCTGAAATCAATCTCTCTCTCTCTCTCTCTCTCTCTCTCTCTCTCCCTTCTCTCTTCTCTCTCTCCTCTCTCACTTGATCTTCTCAGTACGTTAAGCAAAGTGGTTTCTACTGTCATTATTTGAAGGTGAAACACTGAATCATAGAGAAGCCAAGTGGTGCATCCAAGGTCCCAAGCTGGTGGGTGGTGACAGCGATTTGAGCCCAGGTCTTCTCTCTCTGTCAGTGTCCCTTGGGTGCATACTCCAGATGCTGCTGCTCTGTATCTGACAAGAGCATCAGGGCTCAGCTGATTCATGAACTGATGGCCTCAGCCTCCCTGCAACCCCGGCCTGATGGATTAGTTGACTCTTCTACCCCCAGAATCACTGGCTGGAGACCAAAGAGAGAACAAGAAAGCTGAGTGGAGGAGAGGGTGAGTGGGAGAGAGAGCAGAGGCGGACGAGAACATCTCAGCATCCATCACCAGGGCCAGTTTACTCTGGGATTGCTCTCCTGGACCAAGTTCCCATCAGAAAATCTTTCTTGCTGATAACCTGTTAGTCGCTCTCCAGGGTGAACTACTTCCCAGGCTCCTCTAGCCTTCAAGCCTCATGGGCCCCAGAAAAATGGGCAGCACAGTCAGTTCTGATGGGGAGAAGAAGCAGCGACTTAGAGGTGGAAGTCAGATAGAGAGAGCCACATATTGGCATCAGAGGGATTGTCTGTATCTGCTTCACTTTTTAAGACACTTCTCCTAGCAACTCTGAATCTCTACCCTAAGTCCCCAAAACTCCTTCTAAAGCCTTGCTGATGTTGCTGGGTGTGATGGCTGGTCAGCATTTCTCCTTTGGCCTCATCCTCTACTAAGACTGAGTCAGGAGTCCCTGTCCTCTTGATTAGACATGTGCGATTGCCACATCCTGTCGGACTCAGAACACAGAAACCTGGCAGAAGGGAGGGAAAGAGGGGCCCAGGCCAGCAAGTATGGGATCATGCTGCAGAGGTCAAATCCAGAGAGAAAGGCCCCTGCTGTAAATTAGTCCCTTTCCCCTTGCTCTCAGAAAACTGTTGAGAGGTGCTGCTGTGGACAGACATCTACTGATGGACACTCAGGAGTGGGACTCTGCTGGACTGGGTCACGGGCGTGAATGAGATAAGGTCTCAGCTTCTGAAGAGCTTCTGGGTGGTGGGGACAGTTCAGCGAAGAAATCGTCAGGACCCAGACTGATAAGTGTTCTTGAGAGACTGGGCAAACCCAGAAGAGAAAGAAGGGATAAGGCAGAAGCAAACCTGGACCCAGAGCTGATGCCCATCACACCCGATGTGGCTCACCAGACTTGCAAATCATAGTGATAGCGTTACTGTCCTCTGAGCAGGACTCTGAGGCTTCAGGTGTGACTAGATGCTTAGGGTGCCCAAGAAAAGCTCCTAGAAAAGGCAGTGCTATAAGAAGGGCACGTGACCCCGAGCACAGTGAGCTGAGTGGACCTCAGGGCCATTCAGGCATCACCTCTCACAAAAAGCCATCCAGTTGCTAGATGGGTTGTCCATGTCTGTCCCTCTGTCATGAGTATATGAGCTGAGTTTGTGAGGGTAGGGCCCGTGTTGCTCACTGCAACATCCTTAGCGCCTGCTGCCCATGGCCCTCTGGATGTACACAGGAATAATGAATGAATGACAAAGAGCAGGAGAAAAGAGAGGCAGAGAAGAAACAGAAGGGAACGGACAAGTAAAGCCCCCCTTGTGCCAGGTTGCTTACATGAATGATCAGGCTAATTTCCAAACTCCCCACAATAGGCTGAGATGTATAGTGTTCTTCCCATTTTACAGATGAGGAAATGGGGCATAGAGGATCCAGGGCTGGGCAGAGCAGAGACAGGCAGCAGGAAGAGAGCTGCTTCCCATGTGTGATCCCACATCCCCTTTGTGGGTATGCAAGGCTCCTTTCATCCTCCTGGGCTACTTCCAATTGGCCTATGGATATTTGGCTGGAACTTCAGGATCTAGAGGGCAGCCCCTCCCCACCCACTGGGCCATCCCAGCCCAGCTGTGCAAACAGACTCCAGCTGGGTTGTTCCACTGAGGATTTGGGGGAGGATGTAGCAGGTCTGACAGGTCAGGATGAGCTGGGCTTTCCTGAGAATAGTTCCAACCCCAAGGTAGCCTAGGATACTTTCTTCCTAGGGCAGGAGAGGGGCTATGATCCTGACTGCAATACAGTCAACAGTCTGACAATAAAAATAACCGTTCACCACCTGCCTCTGTTCCATGTTCATAGGGACCTTGCTTATTCTGATCTGCGTTGACCTGGCAACCGGAATCTAAGGGTCTTGCAGTGAGTGAGCCTCATACATTTGCTATCAGAGACTGTGTTGGCTACCTATAGTAAGACAAGCAGCTGGCTGTGTCCTTTCACCCAGGTAGCTTAGCCCTGAAATAATTACACAGAAACTGTATTCATTTAAACATTGCCTGGCCCATTATTTCTAGCTTCTTATTGGCAAACTCTCTCACATTAGTTTAACCCATTTCTAATAATCTGTGTGTCACCACGAGATGGTGGCTTACCAGGAAAGATCCTATCCTACGTCTGTCTCGGGCTGAAGCTTCATGGCGTCTGCCTGACTCTGCTCTTCTTCCCAGCATTCTGTTCTATCTACTCCACCCACCTAAGGGCTGCCCTATCAAAAGGCCAAGGCAGCTTCTTTATTCAACCAATAAAATCAACACACAAACTGAAAAACCTCCTACACCAGCTACACAGCACAATGTCTGTAAGTGCCAGTGGCAGGAGAGAAAGCCCGATGACCTCATTGGCCTAATCTCCCTACTTACCACATCTTTCCCCCCATCTCCTTTGTGCCCCAGAGTCACCCTTCTGCACCACTAACTTCCTCACGCCTTTCCCTGCTGCTGGGCCCAAATGCAAGGCCAGGACCTCAGCAGACATTATCACAGGGATCCTATCAAAGGTTGTGCAGAAATCCTGAACAGCAGAGTGAGTGCTAGGGGCCAGCCTGCAAAGAACACTCACAGAGTACCCACTGCCTAACACTCACAACTGGAACTTTCCAGCATATACTTCCTTAGCTGAGTGATTATTTTCCCTGAAGGGCCAGATAGTCCTCCTGTAGGAACAACCAACCACAAAGGCCAGCAACCAGCTGCAAAAGACCCTTGTGTTCACACTAACACAAACAGAAGCTGCTACCCCCAAGCCAGCATCATGAGGCGCACGCGCTCCGCATCCGCACTTGGCTCTCAGACAAGCCGACACAGCCTTGCACATACCACCCAGGAAGTCAGGAATCCACCCTGCCCAAGGGCTGACACTAGCATAAAGGAAAGCATAACCTTGTGTGTGTGTGTGGGGGGGGGTGCCTTCTCACCTCAAAGGCTGCTTAAAAGCTTACCACTTGGAGATCAGACCCTGTGAGTCAGAGAAGCAGTGTGTATTGGCAGGAGGGGACTTTCCAACTCAGGAAAATCTACACCATCCATCCTATGAAATGTTAGTATGTATCTAAGGAGTAGATAAATATTTCTTCCATGCACTGGACATGTTCAGTTCTCTGTTATAGATGCAAACACTGGGACCCAGAGATTCTATGCTGCTCCTCCACAGTGCACAGTTACAGCTGGTCTCAGGTGATCCATAGCAGTCCCTACCTCATGGGGATGTTGTCCGGTTACATGAGTTAATTCACTCATTGAAAGGTGCCTGCCACAAAGTAAGTAGCCAGTAGATATTGTGTTATAGTTGAAGTGCTTGCTATAGACGTCTTTACAGCGCCATAGCAAAGACAGATAATGCAAAAATCACTTCCCCTCTTAACTCCAACTTTGTTGTGCATTTTCTTGGTTTACAACATTTCTAGCAAATAATTCTTGGTGTCAGTTCTATCCCAGGAACATGAGAGTGTGATCAACGTTGGATCCAGTGACCAAAGTCCCCTGTTTACAGGCCCCATTTCTCTTCCCTGTCTCTTTTCCTCTCTTCCTTTGAGCAAACATTTTCCCTCTCACCACAAACAATACCTACTTCTCCATGGTACTCACCCTTGGCTCTGCTGCCTCTGCATTTCTTGTCCAGACTCAAAGCTTTTAATCTCTGCTTCCATGGTCTCTGAGTTCCACCAGGAGTACCCAGGGGGTCCTTCCGCAAGACAGATCTGGAAAGTCTTGTGTCTCGTGATATCCTAGAGATCACAGTGGTTTTCACATCAGGTCCCTGTCACCAAAGCCCAGCTCTGCCACTGTGGCTTTGTGGCTTTGAACTCCTTGAACCTAAGTGTATGTTCGTGAGAAGTGTGTGAGCTATCTGGCAGGGCTTGAGTGGAAGAAGAGATTTCATGGAGTGCCCTCCCCTTCAAGCTTTCAATTCACACACACGGATTACACTGGAATCTACTTTCTTCTATAAGCTTTTCCTGAAGTTTTATGCCCACTATATCTTAACCATACTAAAATCCAATTTATAAAGCAGCAATTCAACACTGAGCCAACATATCAAATCATTTTGTGATCCATGAAATATTCGGAAATCTCCTATCCCTAGGGAAGAAGCCCTTAACCCTCTTTGAGACATTGGCTCCATTTTGTCTCCAGCTTGGGGGGTCACACCCTTTCTATCTTTTGAGATTAAATGACAACTGTGGTGTCATCCTGTGTTTACTGTGATCTCCTTGGAGACACAGGCTAGGTCTGACTCATTGTGAAATTTAAAGAAGCATCGGTACGTTTTTAAATGGACTACGATCTGTTTTAACCCTGCATCTCTCCAATCATCAGATCATACACTCATCACATTTGAAATAAGGACTCTGCCCTGAGGGATTTCCTTCTGAAACGGAGAGCCTTTGCCTCATTCAGTCTCTTGCCTTCTTTACTCTCCTGGAATCCTCTCCAGCTAACCCTTCCACCTTCTGCGGTACCAGCTGCTGTCCCAATTTCCAAGGCTCCTTTACTAGCCAAGCAGAGCCCCACACCACCATGCAGGTAGGGGTTGGGACTGGTACCCCAGTAGGAACAATGTCCTGTGGTCCACAGCTGAAAGCCTTTAAGGGCATCTGAATGGACCATTAGTTCCCTCCCTTGGCCTTTCAAGCTCCAGGGTGACAAATCTAATCCTAGTCAGATAAGGCAACTAAATTTTCCTGTACACATTTAGCAAAGGGAGACAGGAGGGTGGGGTGAGCAGGATCTCACCTCGCCCAGATGCTCCTCTTATCTACGAGTTCTCTGAAGCAGGGGAGAGGGACTCTCGGACTCTAGTAACTCGAGTGCCGCTTTTCCCCTGCCACAGTTCCATGATTTCTCAGTAGGAGAGACCACCTGGCAAGTACCAGCAAGTACCAGCAAGTACTGATCTCTGAAAAGGGATCAGCTGCCTTTAAACTCTCACACTATTTCTACCCAAAAAGAACAGTGGAAATAGAGGCTGAAGGCAGTGCTGGCAGCCTTCAGACCTGGCTGGAATGGGAGGCCTGGATCTGATCCCTAAGCACCCTCTGTCTAGGTAAGCAGAGGAGTCTGGGGCACCTAGGAATACTTTACTACTCACCTCTCTCTCCTGGCCCAAGCAGCCCATTGTAGCACGGAATTCTCTGGTAAGTGGATTCTAGTGAACAGGTTCAGCCTCAGAGCGGGAACCTGTTCTTTCTGTTCTTCCTACAGGTCCTAGCTCTAGTCTTCGTGACTGCTCAGAACTTCTTCGGCTGTGCTTGCCCCAGAACAGCCCTAACAAGAATTAGAGGTGATGTTAGGTACCCACAAAATTCAGTTCCTAAAGATTTTTCTGTTATAGAAATACCACTCAGGAGTCAAAATAAAAATAAAAAAATTAAAAAAGTACTGCAGGTTGGCGATGAGGAGCCCAGGATTATACCAGGTAAGAGATGATGTAGTTTGAGCCAAAGAAAGAACAAGCCAAAGGGTCACTCAAGGAGAGGTTTGCTACATGTTGGAGACTGTAGAAGTTATGATGGACATTGGAAATCCAATGCAAGATCATGGTGGATACAGAAGACTGATAGGGAGGTCGGGCTGGATGTTGGAGACTGAGGGATGCTCATTCTGCCTACTGAAATAGGAAAGGTTCACTCGGGGCATACGAGAGAGCAGGCTGCCACACTAAGGAAGGAGTTTTGATTACTCACTTAGGCTAAGAGCCGCAATAGGACCACTGAAAATAGAAAATAGCAACAACTTTCCAACTCCCAGACCTATGCCCTCTCCTCCTTAGACAAATGTGTTTTCCAAACCTAGTCCCTCACCCAGCCAGCTCACAGCCTTACTGATGGGGGTCCAGTGCTGTGGGACAGTGGCCTGTGCCCTGTCATTTGTATTTTAAATAAACGCTGATTGGCCAGGCAGGAAGTAGAGGTGGGACAATGAGAATTCTGGAAAGAGGGAAGTTTCAGTCTGCAGTTGTCACCCAGACACAGAGGAAGCCAGACACAGAGCAAGCAAGATGCGACTGTCTCCCTGATAAAGGTACCAAATCACGTGGCTAACACAGACAAGAATTATGAGCTAATATAAATTATAAGAGTTAATAAGAAGCCTGAACTACTAAGACAATTAATGTAATTAATACATAATGTAATTAATGTAGACCTCTGTGCGTTTCTTTGGGACCGAATTACTGCAGAACAGGACAGAAATCTCAGTCAACAGAAACCTTGGTCAGCAAATGACTAAATGGATGTGGAACCTGGAGGGACAGAAACCTCTGTCAACAGTCCAGGGATATACTCAACTCACTGGAGCCTTCCCAACCCCATCCTGCCTTGTCTACAACCTGAGTGAATTAAACATTGAATACATATCTTCACATGCAACTCTTTGACCCACCAGTGTATACTGGTTGTGACTGGTACAGAAGCTGTGTATCTAAACAGTAGAAGTCAGCCAACTATATATAAATAGCAGAGGTCAGTCTTGCTTTAGCCAGGAGACCCAGGACTTTGCCCTAACTCTGCCATTGATTTCATTTATTCTAGGATAATTTTTGAGCCTGCCTATTTTTGTCTCCAAGACTCGGTTTTACCGTTTAAGGAACCCAAGACATTTCTGAGGCATGTTAATCCATAAAACCCTTCCTGATGGTCAATTTATTTGGTGGAGTTAATTCCCCTGTAGGGGCCACCAGAACAGACCACCATCTTATTTCTCCCAGAGCATCTCCATTGCCCTCCCTGTCAATCACCAGACTATTTCTGAGTCCTGGGAACCAAATGAAGAATGTGTTTCAACTGTGAGAGCCTGGCCAAGTTAAGCCAAAGTCACCTTTGCTATTTAAAACCCTCTCCCCACAGAGCAGCCTATTGAGGCTGGGAGAAGTAAATCCCTACTCACTTCTAAGTCCACTATGCAGTAGCTTAATCCCCCAAGATTAAAAGCCCCCAGTACCAGCTTCCCCTTTCCTCAACGTCCTCCCCCAGGCCACTTTAGGCAGACTTGGAATGTCTAGTTCCCTCCTCCAAGGCCTGACTATGTAAGCACCCTCTCCTGGGACACTGTTTCCCAGAACTAATCTCTGTTGACATTCACTAGCCTGATCTTTTCTATAAGGTCTAAGTTCTACAGCATAGAAGGTCC